TAGGACTAGGGGACACAAATATAAATTCTGGCATAGTGGGAGTCATCTTCAGTTAAGTTTTATTTTTCTAACAGGGTGGTTGCCTCTGGAGTGGGTTGCTTTCGGGTGTTGTGGAGGCAGTAAATTTAGGTGAATTTAAGGCCAGCTTGATAACTATATGAATGATAAGAGCTGGCTTTAATTTTTTTTTTCGAATGTATTTTTTAATAGTTTTAGTTTAGTTTAGGGAATAGAACAACCGAAATGGACCAACAGGTCCCTTGTTATCCCTAAACATTATGTTATGTTATGTTGATATTAGAAGATATTACATCTCATATTATTTGTTAAATTATATTATTGTTTTAATTTGTTATTTAATACTCCCCAGTGGCAAAGCGGTATGCCTGCGGACTTACAACGCTAGAAACCCGGTTTCGATACCCGTAGTTGGCAGAGCACAGATAGCCCATACCGCTGACACACTGTTGTGCCACCGGGTGGCAACAACAAAGAAAACCCATTGTGTAAATTTGTTGTTAATATAAAGAAGTCAACCATCTTCTTTATTTACATCAAAAAAACAAATTATTTAAACTTTTAACAGAGGGCACTCTGGTATCTTTACTTCTAAGGGTCATATAAATGTGTTGGGCCGTACATGTTAATACGGCAAGAAATATTTTAAAGACTGATTGAAATATTTAAAATGGGAGGTTCTTCCAGCACACGAAGAGTTACAGTTGTAAACGATGACGCTAGTGGTGTGATAAAGGTATACAATAAATATTGTTACCTTGTTTGTTTATCTTTAATATTTATTTGAAACTAGAGTTCAGTTTCAGAGTCATGTTCATACTAATTATTAGTATTACTACTTTCACTGTATCAGTATCCCAGTATCATATCATGTACTTACTCACTGTAGCCCAAATATCGGGCTACTACTATTATTAGTAATTGGTACTAATAAAATATTATCAGTATACTAACACTAGTTTATATAGTTTAACATAGTAAGTAACAGTGGAATTTTTTTGGGACAGAGGCCTATCCTTTTATTTCAACCAACTTTATTATGTAAAATTTATTATCTTCTCTACCTCGCGATCTAATATTGTAATAAACTAAAGTAATACTAATTGAAATTCTACGTTTGAAATAATAAACTCTATTTGCAAAGTTACTTACTAAGTATAAGTTAGAGGAAATATTTAGTTATTTTTGGAGGGAAATTTAGATTAAAGATAAAGGACATGGTTTCTGTATAGTTAAGGTAAAGGTTATTTTCCTGAACTTGAAGAAAGACGAAATGTGTGGAAGGTTAACAGAACTGTATAATAATGGTACTAGTATAAGTTAAGGCTATGGAGACAGGTTCACATAGCATTAATATACCAGTCTCTAATAGGTGTGAACCTATGGATGCTTGCATAGGCATAGGGGCTTGATTTTGACTGGAGAGAACAAGCGAATTTAGCCTGAAAATATAAAATCGACCTTAAACTCATGTACTATAAGGTTTAAAGTCACTTTAAAAAATGGTTCCAATGACTTCCATGCAGTGTTAAAGGGTTAAAAAGGTGAAAGTGAAAATGTCACGTGTGGATAATATATTTTCTGAAAAGACATAATCAATTTATAAATGATATGTAAGGAGCTTCTGCCCAAACATTTTTGGTGACTTATGCCTGAAAAATTGTTTGGGCAAGAATTTTGGTTGCTTGTAATGAAAAGTGAAAACATCAAGAGGTTTACTTTGTGTTTGTAATGGAGAACACAGAAATAATAGAATTTAAATAAATGTATATTTAACTTAAGTCTTGGATCTTGTGTCTAAAGTTGAGATCGTGCTGAGGGTGTAAAATTATGTAAATGGTAGATGATGTAGGTATACAAACCAATACATGATGTTAACTGATGGTGGTGGTCAAAACTTGTAGTCTTTTAAAGATGTATCCTAAGTAACTTATT